CCAAATATTGCTCGAGATGCTGCAAAAGCGGACATTTCAACACAGAATGCCCAGAAAAATCCATAATTTGTCCGTACTGCGGACTCAGCCACCGGTCTACTGCCTGCCCCACGATATCGACTCCCAAATGCCCTAACTGTAGTGGTCCTCACCCCGCTTTCTCACCACGCTGCCCTCACCGAAACACTCAAGCCGCCAACTATAATCAAACCCAACCAGTGTACACAGAAAAGCAAATCCCATCCTACGACCTCACCTCTGACATGAAATCCCTCATCCACTTCACATCCATACTCCTATACAACTCCTTCCCTGAAAAGAGAAGTGCAATCACCTTTTACCTAAACCAAATTTCCAATGCAATGTATGGATGTGCCATAGCCACTTCATGCACAAACAATCTAGTCAACCAAACCTTTACCCACCTCCACATCTAAATACCACACTCTATATACCAACACATATTCATACACACACTAATTACACCCAAATACAACACTTTACCTTTTCCAGCTCACAATCCAAATTAATAAACACCTAACCCCATATCTCAACAACATACCTAAAGTCCAAATTAATAAACATATAAAACACACAAACACACAACACTACACTGTGAGCACCCAACACACTCCTTAAGAGTCGATTAAATACACACAAGGACAGGGGGAGATTGGTTTTCTGTGGTTTTCCAATCTCATTGCACAATGATACCTGATCCTAGGTGAGGTTATAGCCACAGCTATCCTCCACGCGTTTTTCCAACAAACAAACAATGGCCAACAATCTGAGAGGAATCGTTTTTCCAAAGAACTTGTACTTCGTGACAGGCTTGGTGGGCCTGACTAACTCTTCCGGAAGCCGTACATTCGCCTCTTGCCTTCTTCTTGTTCTCGGCCTCCATCCTATCCTATCCTTCACCTCCCTCTTTGACCTTTCAGCTCTTTAGCGGCGGCGCCCTTAGTCTTCGGAGTCCAATTGAAGTCATACGAGCGAAAACTGGCATTTCATACCAAGCAAGCATTAGCACCCAATAAACAAACCCACCCTTGAAGAAGCATAGAGCTTAAAGCAAGGTTAAAACGCATTGATTGATCGACTTATATGATCGTTCCATTCTACTCTTCTATTTCTTACCCAGTTTTTGATGTTCTCCACCTTGCATTTACGTCGTAGATCTGTACTTCTAGCTCTGTCTCATAGTGTCTTACCATCAAGTATATTCATCTGTGCTGTTTATAACATCCTATTTGTCCCCTTTTGTCCTCTCTGTGTAAAGTCTTGTTTCTGCCGCATTTGTCATTATTGGTCTGATGACTGTTCTGTCAATTCTGCTTTTCGTTTCTTTTCCGATATTTTTATTTCTCCATATTGTTTGCATCAGGTCCCCTGCGGCTCTGTTTGCTCTATTTACTTAATCTTCCACTTCAGTTTCGAGCTTTCCATAGCTAGAGAATATGATGCCTAGATATTTAAACTCCATCACTTGTTCCATTATCTGACCTTCCAGCTCCAATTTACATTTTAGTAAATTTGGTGTTGTAACCATGCATTTTGTTTTTTTTTGGGGAAATTAACATGTTAAATTTTCTGGCAGTTATATTAAATTGGTGCAGAATACGTTGTGAATTATCTTCACTTTGAGAGAGTAGTATTGCGTCGTCTGCATAGCAGATTATTTTAAGTCGTTTTTCTTCCATTTGGTATCCTTTTTAAGTTCTTATTTTTTAATATTTATTAACCTAGACCTAAATTGTATGACTGCATTGATCAAGCCATCCCAAAGAAAATTATTAAAAATAGACAAAAACAGAAATATCCAGCTTATTTTAGTATAGACCTTATTAAAAAAATCAGACAAAAAAAAAACAAATTAAGCAAACATATAATAATAAGGAAAGCTAGTGCTGTCGATAACAATAAATTCAGGAGTCTTAGAAATACTATTAAAAAGCAAATCAAAAATGAATTTATGCAGCATCAAAATAATATTGAAGATAACATTTTGCATGACCCAAATAGTTTTTGGACATTCATAAGAAGTAGGAGAAAAACCAACGGTTTTCCTCACGAGATGTCTTTAAATGATCATACCTATACAGGCCCTCAGGATATTGCCATGGCTTTCTCTCATCATTTTAGCTCAATTTATCAGGTATCATCTACACATCAGGGTAGTTCACAGGGATCTTTTAACTTTTCAGTTATTAGTGAAGAAGATGTGAAGGTTAGTATAAAAAAATTAAAGCCAAAAAAGGCCACTGGTAGTGATAATATCCCTGCCTATATCTTTAAAGGATGTTCTGATATATTTCAAAAACCATTATCACATCTATTTAATCTATCTCTTAAAACTAACACCTTTCCAGACAAACTCAAAGAGGCTACCATTACTCCAGTTTTTAAATTAGGTAATAGAAACAATATAGAAGACTATCGTCCTATAAGTATCCTTAATTCCCTGGCTAAAATATTTGAATCTATTCTCTATATGAATATACTGAAAAATTTTGAAAATGAATTTGCTCCAGAACAACATGGTTTTTTGCCTGGGTTATCCACAACTAGTAATCTGTGCATTCTTTCTAATTTTGCTAGTGAGGCAATAAATAATAAACTCCAATTAGATTTAATAATGACTGACTGCTCAATGGCATTTGATATGGTAGACCATGGCATTCTTTTATCGAGATTGAATGAGTTTGGTTTTTCGCATGATGCTTGTACATTTATCTCACATTTAACTCACTACCACAATCTCTTAAATTTTCTTCTAGTCTGATCTATGCTGATGATTTTAAGCTTTTTAAGACTATACATACTTCAAATGATTGTCAGTTACTACAGGAGGACCTGACGTCAGTTGTGGAATGGTTTAGGGACAACAATATGATCTTGAATATTACGAAGTGTGGAGTCATATCCTTCACTCGTAAAATTGATTACATTGAAAATCATTATAGAATTGACAATTGTGTAGTATCTAGGAAAACCAAATGTAAAGATCTGGGAATATACCTACAGGCTAACATGAAATTTAATGAACACTATACAAATATTGTTAATAAGGCCTACAAAATATTGGGATTTGTAATAAGAAATTCCAAACACTTTAGTATAAACACAACCATTAGACTATATAACGCTTTAGTCAGACCAAACTTGGAATATGCATCAGTGGTATGGACCCCTGAAGTAAAAGTTCATATTTATCATATAGAAAAGGTACAAAAAAGATTTCTAAGGTATTTATACCTTAAGAAATACAATGTGTATACTCACCTTACGCCATCAAAAGAGTTGCTTCAAATATTTGGCTTGCAGTCATTAGAGAAAAGAAGAAACATGTATTGCGTTGTGTTTATTCATAATATCATTAACAATGTTAAATATAAGACATGTGGTTTGATAAACTTTATTAGGTTTCATGTGCCAAAGGTCAACCTAAGGGTAAATAGTAATGACCTATTTTCTTGTAGTCCTTATAATTCAGGTGCAATAATAAACTATATGCAATATCAGTGCAATGAGTTAATAAAGATCTGTGATATAGACCTCTTTACCTGTAGTGTAAGGGATATTAAAAAATGTTATAAATAAGTATGATAAGTAATGGACTTAATTTTTAATATTTTATTAACTTGTGTCTTTTTATTAATGTGTTTTATTTTGTGTGTTTTTATTTTGTACTTGTGTGTATATTGTATTTTCTGTGTGTATATTGTTATACCAAGTAATGAGCACTCTTACATGTAATTACTACCTAGGTGGTGTTTGTAAGTTTTAATAAATAAATAAATAAACCTGATTATTTCATTCATAATCAGGTTAAACAATAGAGGACTCGGGGAATTTCCCTGTCTTATCTTATTGCCAGTTTCAATAGGGTTGGTTAGTTCTTCTTCTACTTTTACTTTTATTTTATTATTTTTGTAAATATTTTCGATCGTTTTGATTATTCCTAGAGGTTTCGTTCTTGCGTACAGTAGGTAAATAGGGTTTTTTAATTTGACCCAGCCAAATGCCTTCTTAAGATCCAGGTAACATATATATGCCGGTTTGTCGTATTCTAATGATTTCTCTTGCACTTGCCTCATTATAAATATAACGTCGGTGCATGATCTTCCCGACCTAAAATTTTTGTTCTTCTGCTAGTGTTATAATTTCATTCAGTTTATTTGTTATTACTTTGGTTGTCAATTTTAGTGTTGTGTTTAAAAAATTAATTTCTCTGTAATTTTCCGGGTCCGATCTGTCTCCTATTGAGAGGTCCTATTGAGTGGCCAACGAGGTCACCAGACTTACCGCCTCCTGACTTTTTTCTATGGGGTTACCTTAAGTCAACCTTGTTTATAAAACTCAACCTGCGTGACTTACGGAATTGCAAGAAAGAATTACGCAACCATGTCGCGCTATTACTAGAACAACATTTGCGAAAATTCGTGAAGAATTTGGAAATATTCTTTATTATTAATAACAAAATAACGAAACCCACTTTGAACATTTACTTTGAACATTTACTTGAACATTTTTAATAAATTTCTAGTTCAACAAAAACCTCATTTAATTTTCCATTTAAGACAAAGTTTCACAATTATTGCTTCACCCTGTATAATTATTATTTATTCCATTGGATAACATTTTTTATAGTATTTTCAATGATGTATCACAAGTAGGGGTTTGCAATTTAAACTTTTTTGGTTGTGGTAGATGGGGCCTAGGACGTTGATGGGGGTGAGTTCTCTTTCATGCCATTTTAGTTCCCCCTTACTATCCTAGAAACGGTTTCAAGCATTTTTCGATATCAGTTTTTATTCGTGAGATATAGCCCATTGTAAGTTTTAAAATTGACACATTGTATATTTATTTTAAAATTTTTATATATATTCAAGTTTGCGAAATACATAGTATATAAACTTTACCAGCTGATTACCAGTAAACAATATTCTATGATAATGTTATCTGTATTATAGATATAATAAGTACTAAAATATACTCACTGTTGATTCTTTTAAATTCACTTGCGATATTTTCTTCTTGTTCTTTAGAATACACGGCCTCGTATTTTAAGAAATCTTCCATGTTGACGCGATGACCCACTGTACACTATGTTTAACAAACACAACACTTTCACCAGTACACGAGAATTTTATAAATAATGATAACTTTATCATCAATGTGGGATATACCTCTACAATAAGATAAGACATGTACCTAATCCAAAAATATTTATGTTCAATACTCTCAAAATGCCTTGAGATTGTAAATAAAGTGTTGTTGAAAATAGTGTTATTCGAAGTAAGACTTGTTTGTCACCATAATAAATTGTAGACTACGCAGTGTCCCTGTTAGCTAATAGTTGTATTGTTCAGTGTGGAGAAACTGTTTTCGGAATTCACAAGCGTAAAATTTATTATACAAGGTCGACTGCTTATCCCAATTTATATAAAATTTGTTTGCCGAAACTTATCTTATAAATGGAAGAATATACTGTATTTTTTTATATCTGATAGTACGGTCGCCTCACTATATGTGCTGTGGGTTCACTAACACCTTAAAATTTAAAATCTTTTATTAAGTCCGTACTTAAGTTCCTTAAGTCCTACTTACCAAACTCTTAAAATGTATAAAACTTTTACTAAAGGATACAGCTCAACTAACCACCTCACAATCACATTTCGTCACAACTAACATTCATTGACTACAAAAACGTCTTTGATAACATTGTACAGTAGTATGTAGTAAATTGCAGTATACTTCAGGATCGCGGCCCTGCCTACTCGAGACGTAGTTCACTTTCACTTCATTTAACTCAGGGAGTACCAAGTCCCAAACTATCATCCTTGTCTTCTTCTTCTTCTGGTTCCTATCCGTTTCGGATGTTGGAAATCATATTGGCAATCATAACCTTGCTCGCTGCGGCTCGAAACAGCTCCGTTGAGGTTTTCTTAAACCATGTTTTTAAATTCCGCAGCCGTGATATTCTCCTTCTACCGGGTCCTCGCTTACCTTTGACTTTACCTTGCAATATAGACTGTAGCAGAAAGTAACGGTGCTCATTTCTCATAACGTGTCCCAGATATTGCAATTTTATGCGTTTGATTGTAAACACAATCTCTGGTTCCTTCTTCATTTTTCCTAGAACTTCCTTGTTCGTGATCCTTGCTGTCCATGATATTCTCCGCATTCTTCTATAAAGCCACATTTCAAATGCTTCAAGTTTTTTAATAGTGGTGTCTGTAAGCGTCCATGCCTCCGCCCCGTACAACAACACAGAGAAAACATAGCATCTCAAATGTCTCATTTTTGTATCAAGGGATATGTTGTGACTTTTGAAGATGGCGCTCATTTTGTTAAAGACCGTTCTTGCCTCTCCCATGCGGCACTTTATTTCCTGTAAATTGCTCCACTGTTCGTTAATAATACTTCCCAGGTAACAATACTGTTTTACTCGCTCTATCTGCGTCCCATTAATGTATAGATGAGCCCCGTTTATATTCTCCTTGCTGATAATCATTTGTTTCGTTTTGTGGGTATTAATGTTTAGTCCGTACTGTTGACTGTACTCGTTTATTCTGTCCATTAGCCTCTGAAGTCCCTCTAAACTATCTGCTATCACCATGGTGTCGTCGGCATATCTAACATTGTTTACTCTTTCACCATTTAGAAGGATGCCTTCGTCTATTCCGTAAAGAGCCTCGTTAAAAATTTTCTCTGAGTACATACTAAATATCAACGGCGATAGGATACATCCCTCTCTAACTTCACGTAGTATTTTGATGTGATCTGTTTTTTCTCCGTTAATTTTCATGTATGCGGTCTGATTCCAGTAAAGTTCTGAAATTATTCTGAGGTCTTTGTCATCCAGGTCTGCCTCTTTTAAAATGTTTATCATCTTTTGATGTCGAACTGTGTCAAATGCCTTTTCATAGTCGATCATGCACGCGTATACATCGCAGTTAACGTCCCTGCATCTTTGAATCAGTACCTGTACTCCGAAAAGTGCCTCTCTGGTACCCACTGCGTTAATGAAGCCGAACTGTCTGTCCGATATTTGTTTCTCGCACTTCTTATAAATTCTTCCATGGATGACTCTAAGAAACAGTTTCAACTTAGTATTAGGCTGATTGTTCGATATTCTTCGCACTTTTTAGCCCCCATTTATCAGGGATGATTCCTGTATTGTATATTTTATTGAAGATAGCCGTGATCCAAATTATTCCTTCTTCCTCCAAGAGTTTTAAAAATTCAGCTTCGACATTATCAGGCACTACAGCTTTCGTGCTTTTCATCCGTTTTATTGCTTCTTCTACCTCGGATTTAATTATGTCCGGGCCCGTCATCCTCTCTGAAAATGCATGCCTATAATCCGTTCTTTGATCTTGAAAAAGTGCCTCCAAATATATTCTCCATTTGTCTTTCATCTCTTGGGTGTCAATGATTAATTTTCCATTGGTATCTATGAGTTTCATTTCGCTTTTTAAAAGTACCCGTTATTTCTTTTACCTTTTTGTGTACATTAAAATTGTCATGCTTGGCTTGTAGTCTTTCTATTTCTTTACATTTCTCTACAGCTTCTTTTTTTTAGCTTCTCTTATTTTTCTTCTGATGTAAGCCTGCATTTTTTTATACTCATCTTTATTTCCTTTAATTAACCTTCTGCGTTCCATTAAGTGAAGGATTTCTGGAGTCATCCAAGATTTCTTCTTTGTTTCTTTGTTTGGTTTTAGCAGATCTTGTTTAGTTTTCTTAATTATTTCTTCGAATTGATTGATTTCTCGTTGGATGTTATTTTCTTCTTTTAGTTGTTTAACTTGGTTGTTAATATATTCCCCCACTTGCTTTTTAACTTCCGGATGTTGCAGGGCTGTCATGTCGTAGTTAGGTCTAGACTTTTTCTTTATTGTCTTCAGTCTCACATCCATGACTCCCATTAAAGGTATGTGGTCAGATTCAATGTCCGCTCCTGGATATGTTTTGACAGATTTAAAACTGTTTCTGAATCTTCTATTTACCAATATATAATCTATCTGGTTTCTAATTACGTTATCGGGTTTATCTGCTGGTGCCTTCCATGTATACAATCTCCCCAGTGGTAGTTTATAAAATGTGTTCAGAACCACGAGCTTGTTATCTTCTGCGAATATTTCTAGTCTGTCATCTCTTTCGTTTCTTTGTCCTAACCCAAAAGGTCCGATTAGAGACGTTTTCCGTTCTGCTCCAAGTTTTGCATTGAAATCCCCCATTATGATGCTGACTTCATGTTTAGGTATTCGTTCTAATATATCCTTTATGCTTTGGTAAAGAGTCTCTACTTCCTCGTCGTCTTTATCTGCAGTGGGAGCGTATATTTGTATTATGTTTACATTCACTGGATTGGCTCTTATTTTCAGTAGTATTACTCTGTTGGACACTTGGACAAAATTTAAAATTATCCTTGTCAATGACACCAAATTTTCTAACCCATCGCAACTCTTCTACCAACCCGTACAGGCCATAGTGGTAGAGGAACGGTCAAAAATCCCTGTAAAATGAGAAACGAGGAAAATGCAAGGCCTCTGACTCCGGCTGTCCCTTGAAACCAGGCTACAGTAGCACTTTCAGAGGTAGAGGGACAAAAAGGTGCTAAGCATCTTTAGAGTCCACCAGGCTACCTTTACAAACGACAACGGCAAAGAACGTTAATCAAGAAAGATAAACTTGTGGAACTTAAAAACAAGCTGAAGAATATAAAATGGGATAGACTTGGGTTATCTGAAGTACAGTGAAAAGGTGATGAACAAATTAAAATAAAGATCGTCCAGGTAAACGCAAAATCAGGCGTACTTCACAGAGAAATAGGACCCCACAGGTTAAAGAAGAATATAAGAACGCCAAAAAGGAACTTAACAAATTAATTAAATGGGCTAAACGCGCATGCTGGCAAAACTTGTGCAAGGCGTTGGAGAATGATATATGGGGCGAAGCATACAGGATCGCCACTAAGACGCTGAGGTCAGAGATCCCATATAACCTATACGATGACAAAAAAAGGAAATAGCGAATACCCTGTTTCCTAACAAGCCTATAAACGACTTTCTTATTAGAGACGATGAGAACTGTTCCAAAGAATTGACGGCGGCTGAACTCACCAGAGCCGCCAATTCCATCAAAATAGGTAAACCCCTGGATTGGAACCTGTGCCTCCAGAGGCAATAAAAATACTAGGGAATGCATGTCTAGAAGCTACTAGAAGGGCACTTAATGAGCTGCCAACAAGACAAGAATTTCTAGACGAGCTAAAACTAGCTAAAGTTACACTGATACATAAACCCGATAAAAACCCGGACGAAACTAATTCGTACAGTTCTAAATGTCTATTAGACTGTCTATAGTGTATTTTTATGTATGAGAGAGTAATAAAACAATAAATTATGTATGCAAATCCCTAAACTGTTGATACGGGTGACTCAATGAAAAACAGATATTTGTCAACAAGTTTACAGAAGTATATAGGAAAACAATTTTAAATTGAGTATGACCACCAGGTATAAAGGTTGGAGCAGAATAGAATACAATAGTTGTGTGGGTTACTAATCCCTAAATAAGGTTGCCAGTGTCGGAGTGATGGAGGTTAACAGGTACTAATGAATTTGCAAGAAATGTAAGATGTTTATTTTATTGGTTATATATAACCAATAAAAGTTTAATAAGTACCTACCTATTTGCAAAATAAAGTTTAATTCTTTAGATAAAATAAAACGTTTTATTTTATCTGAAATGAGTGCATTCCACAAAGTAAGGGTTTCGACAGTAATTGACTAGATAATTACCTTCTAAACTTATTCCACAGAAAATGTGATAGTGGGTTTTCCATTTTGTAGGAAGGTCCAAGTGGCGTATTCAAAATTCTTAACAGTTCACTAAAAGTAGGTACTTCAGTTGCAAGGTGCAGTTTATTGTGTATACTAGTGTTATGGAAAATTTGGAAGTGCCGTGTACACGCCGAAAAATTGGTCATTTAACAGTTAATGAAAAAACATTAATATTTAATTGTTTTAAATCATTTACAGACAAACGTTTATGTGAAAGTGTTGATGAGACCGTTGAGTTAGTTAGCAGTACACTTGGTGTTGGGAAATCTACGATTTACAGAGTTATTGAAGAAGAGAAATGTGGTAGTTTTCAAATGCCACGTAATGCTCCAGGGAAACCAAAATTTTAAATAGAATATCATTTTAAAGAAGGACTTCGACGGAAAGTGCATGAATTCTTCTTTAGACAAGAATTTCCAACATTGGATAAAGTTCTTGCCTCAGTTCGAGATGATAAGGATTACCCAGAAATGAGTCGAAGTACGTTATGGAAACTTTTAAAAGAAATAGGCTTCCGCTGAAAAAAGAATCCCAGAAAGTCTATTT